TGCATCTTCATACGGAACCTCCCCTGGCAGCTTCCCAGATGTTCTCAGTTTTGCATCTCCAGGAAGTGTCTCTCCCAGGATGGCTTTGGCCACAGGTGGAAGCACTTGCTTCTGAGCCCTGCAGGAAAATCCAGCACGTGCCGGGCTGCCTAAGAAGTCCCTCTTGTAGCACCTGCCAGCTCAGAGGCTGGATCTATATATATATTTTTATATACACATATATATGCTTGATAGATCTCTACTGGCACAAGCAGTAGTTTGCTGCGTATTCTGCTTCTTAGGGCAATATTTGGACTGCAAAGCCCCTGAAGAAGGGAATATCTCTTATTGAGTGCTTCTAATATGCTTAGCCCTCTTAGGCTTTCCTTTCCTGACTGGCTTTTAATGTAACGTAAAGAATGGGAATAATATCTTCCATTAAAACTTTATTAGGGAGCTCTTCCATTTAACAGAGAACTGTTTCACTCCCAGCCAAATGGGCTTGCAGTGGTTGAAAGCTAAACACAAAAATTCCGAATATAGGAAAGAGGGGGGGGAAAAAATGCAATATTGAAACGAGGAGGAAAAAGGGAGAAGCAGGTTCAATGAACTGCCTGGGAAGCCTGATGCAGCACAGATTCCCGAATGCAGGACTGGAAAAGCCACTAGTGCAGCGAGTTTCCCTTCTTGTAGTGGGATTTACCAACACACTTCCCTTGTTTGTATGTCCTGCTGAAGTCCAAGTCAAATTACTGTCTTCATGAGGCATCTGATCACTTCTTCATATGTTGCAAAGGCTGCAGGTGGGTTGATTGGCGTCTGGTTACCACCAGAGAGAAGTCTGAGTGACAGCATCTGACCTTCTCTTAGGAGCATCTGTGCTGCTCCTCACCTTCCCTCTGGCTTTTACTGTGACCTTTGAATAAAAATCGATCCCCGATTAGTGTTTGTTAACAAGAAATACCTTTAAATTAGTATGCAAGAGACACCTTTCTGAAAAGGTTAGATAAGCCTGGGGCAAGTCAGTCCAACACCCTGTTCTTCATGATGGAGACAGGTCGGTCTGTGTGAGCTGTTTTCCATACGTGTGCTTTCCAGCGCTATTACCTGCTATTCCAAGGAAAAAAAGCAGCCTGAGAGCCCTAGGACTGTGTGGCATGTGTGGCTGAATAAAGCCCCAACGTAGTCTAGGGCATGGACCACAGCCTGGTCTTTTTCTTGGCGTTTCATGGTGTGCTGCTGGAACTATGCTTGGAATTTGCCAAGCATGGATGGGTATCCATCCAGCTGTACTAGACTGGCTTCAGTTAGTAAATGGCAAGTGAGGTTTTTTATATTCCCTTGACCAGATATTTTGTTCATCACTCCATTTGAAAACCTCCAACTGTGCAAATTTATCAGAATACCCCTATCTACCTAAATATATATTATATATGTATATATCTCCTATATATATAGGACTTGGAGGCTGCAGGGCATGTAATAAAATACAGTCAGTCTCTGAGTATTTGCAGAGCCCATTGGGTAGGAAAGCCCATGGAGAACATCCACGGATCGTGAACTCTAACTGGTTAAATAAAATCTCTGATCCACATCCTCGAGGGTGGTCAGTGCATCTTTGTTATTGAACAGCAGGAGAGGTGGCAAAATAAAGCTCTGTGGGTAAAATTAATTGTGTCGTGGGGGATATAAAGCTGCATCAGTACCTCTAAAGTGCCCTCGCAGTCCAGGAGAATTTCTAAGTAATGAACAGAAATGCTCAGTTAGAGCTTTTTCCATATTTTATGTTAATCATTAGGGCAGAGCTGAAATTAGCTTTAATTGATATTAAGGGCTGAAAAAAATGAATCCTCTGGAGAAGATAGACTCTCTTTAACCTTTAATGATGCAGTAAATAAAGCATCCTGTCCACATTTGTGCAATGGTAAGGGTTTTTTGGGATTCTATATCTACATGGTATGGATTTCAATGTGCCTAATTCTGTCCCTTACAACAGATAGAGGTGATGTAAGTGCATTAATTCAGCTGCAGTTTTTTTCTGCATTTCCAAACTATCCATCACAGCCTGGTAATCCTCCAGGCCTGCTAATTCCAATAGTGAGATTGAGATGGGAAAGAAGGATTGTTTGAACTAAACAAATTCTGTGTTCCAGCTTCCTTATTTCTCTTCCTTTATCCACCTTCTCTCAGCCCATGGCATCCGATGCCAGTCTATCAATAGAGAAATTGTGTATCAACAGGGAAGGCGGGGGAAGGAGCAACATTGGCTCGTTCCTCCTTTCAGGTGAAATATGGTAGAAAATATTTCATTTTTCACTTTACAGGCAAGATGGAATTGCACAAGACTTCAATACTTTAAGGACACTAAGTTGGGTAATAGAGTCAGGCCATTCCTCTGCGTGTCAGCGCTGAGGCCGATGATTGAAACACTCAATAATTGACTTGGTGATGCACACACAATATCTTTGCTTTTGCTGTGAGCAGGAAATCTGTTTTTCACGAAACCCACTTGCAATTAATTGCAAGAATTGTATCATTTAGGCAAGTTGCTGTGATGTTGATGATCACTCTGTTACAGTTAATTGAGAAAGGGAAAACAAATCTCCCCACTTATAACCATTCTTGTCTCTCGTCAGAACTGGTATAATAGCAATTCCCATATCAGAGGATATATATCTTGGTTGGAAAGTCCCCAGCAAGCTCTTCAGTAAGATGGGGTATAAACACCCATATTCATATAGAAATCATCCTGAATAACTGGGCATGCTGATTTTAAAAAGCTGGATGTTCTTTTTTGGTTTTGGTGGGGTTTTTTTTCCTCTTTTTTTTTTTTTTTTTTTCCCTGGAATTTGGGAGGGATTCAAAGAAGTGAAACAGAAGCATGCCCAAAATTAGCTTCCACGGCCGTGCTGTGTTTGTTTGCAAGAGTAATCCTAATGTACAGAAAGCCCAGTTACCTTGGGGCAATGCAATGTCCCAGGCCTGTCAATAATGTACTGAAAAGCTCAGCAATTAGGAAATGTCCATATGAAGCAGATATATTTTCTGAGTGAAAACATCCCGGTCCTCAAATGTGTGTGCACTTTTTGTGTGTATTTGTTTGTTTTCGTTTTGTTTTGGTTTTTTTTTTAAACCTAGATAGTGATATGCCTGGTCTAAAGAGCAAATATCCAAAGCAGTGATAATGAACGTGATGAATGTACAGCTACAAGAACTGATAGACTGCTGGCCAAATCATACACCTCTCCTTGGTGTGAGGGCTTGCTGAAGCAACGGAAAGCACTGGGAATGATGGAGGCTGCCCAGATAAGCAAAGTAATTTTATGCAGTTAAGACACAGAGGATCTAATTTTCTTCTCGAGGACTCATTACCATGATTTTGTTACACATATTATTTATGGGCTGTTATGATAGTCCTGGCAGGTCATAATTGGCTCATGCCAGAGAATTATTCACATTTTTCATATTTGGAAGAATGAAGGATCTATACAGTTACACTAATGACTTCATTCCCAGAGACACCACGCACTGTATAGGAATTGCCTGTATTGGGTTATGGCTGGATTAACCCTTTCCTGTCCTGAGCACCACATGTGGGAGGTCGGTTTTCCTCAGGAGATACCAAAGCGGCTTTTCTCTGCTTGGAAACAGCTGCTTGGCCTATAGGTAGTCTTTGCTGAAGATATCTTTATGATAGAGTCCTCTTTCTTGAATTTGGGGTCAGTTTTGTCTGGGGTTATTTTTCTAGGGGAAAAATGCTGCCTTTATTTTTATTTTTTATTTTTATTTTTATTTCTATTTTTATTTTTTTATTTTTTTCTTTTTTTTATTTTTTATTTTTACTTTTTATTTTTACTTTTATCTTTATTTTTTTTGCTCTGTCCATGCAGGGATATTATCCTTCCCCATGTGAGCTGATGCCGCCTCACTGCAGCCACAGGACAGATCCAGTTCTTCCCCTATGAGATTTTAACCCTTTGGAGGGGATGAGCAATAGAGAGAGCCCTACTGGCAGCACTTCTAGTAGCACCGTTTTCTGCATATAGCAGAACCCCGACAATATTTCACAGGCTGGGAATCACAAGGGAGCACTATAATTGTTTTATCTGCCTTGCGGGAGAGCACAAGCTGCTCACTCTTGAATTAAGGCCCAGTGTATTTTATCACATCCTTCTGGAGAAGAAAAAAATAAATAAAAGACAGGTTTAGTTTAAGGATTCCCAGTGATCACAAATCTCCCACCCAGCTGGGTGACCGCTCCCACGGCTAAGTACCAGCAGCGTTAAAAAATGGGCTTTAATTCTTAAATAAATGCTCATTATGTCAGGCAGCGGCGCTTGTATCGTGTAGTTCTCTCTGCTAGGCTAAAGAGACCTCTGTTATCACAAGTGTGTGGCCATCAGAGAAAAGTATTGCTGATAAGAGGAGGATTGGAAATTATGCCTAGGAGGGAAGGCTGCCGGGAGCTCACCCTCAACCTGATCCTTCTTGGGGCTCCTCTCCAAGCCTTTCCCGGGCTACTAGCATCCTGCTTGGGTTTTAGGCATCGGATGGGATGTCGGATTCTGGTGTGATGGGGTGCAAGGAATTCAAAGCCAGCAGGATGTCTCACCTGCCTCAGTATTTCCCATTTACTTCTTTGGGATCTACATCCCTTTGGCCCAATCCCTTAAGCGCTGCACTCAAGGGAACTTCCTCGTCGGATTCAGCGGCAGCAGTTGTACTAATTGCAAAATATTTTACCAATGCAAGGGGTTGATGGCGTTAAATGAAGGATCGGATTCATTAAATTAAGTGGAAAGCGATGTACGCGGATAATTCCAAGGGTTGAGGCTGAATATGTTTTTTAAATAGGAAGCGCTCAGCTGCTATACACAGAGCAGCTCTCAAACGGTTTTAATGACAGTATTTGTACACACTTCAGTTTAATTAACACATGGCAAAAGAGAGGTTTGGTAGCTAGGATGTAGTCTCACACCAGTCAGCTCAATTATACAACACCCAACCCCTGAAGCATTAATACCCAAGAAGAACACCCCCATCTCTGCCTGGCTAGGTCTAGTGATTTCCCTTTCCATCACCCTTGTTTCTCTTGGATGTGACTGTCTCTCCAGATGGAGAAGTCCCCCTAGAAGTGAGTGGCTGATCAGTTCCTTGGTTGGATTTATTTCCCGTGTTCTGCAACCAAAACAAGGATGGTTGCACATTGCCACTGCCCAGTGATTCCCAGTACATTGCTGGTAGCTATGTTTGGGGGTAAATATGTGGGAATTGCCTCCAGAATTAATGAGAGCTCTTCTTCTGTATACGTATGCAAGAGCTTTCCTGAGGTGTGTGAATCCTTGTTGGCACAGGATCCATCAGATTCTGGAGGACTGTTGCAAAATCCTCTGGATTTTATGCTTCTGTCCTAGGCACTAGCTTCAGAAAAATAGGTTTCTTGGGTTTTAGGAATCCCTGTGAACTCAGCTCGAGAGGGATCTGTAACATGAAGAGAGAGGGAAAAGTCATGTAAAGCCACACAAACGCAATATATAATATAAACAGAAATAAACTTCTGCAGACTTGAGTTGTTCTTTCAACCTCCTAGGAAGGCATTGGGCCAATTAAATGGACTCCTAGCCTGGAATTTCCCCCGGTCCCACTGTCACCCACCTGCAACTGTTTATGCTAGAGAGAGGCACCCACCCTCTTTGAAAGTGCAAAGCCGTATATCTTAATAAGCATTAACCCTAGGTTATGTTATGTCAACATGGTCAAGTTGGTCAAGTTATGACCAAGACACCCAGCTTTTTTATAGGGGTTTTGGAATAGGGTATGGGCTCCTCACCGGAGTCTCCTTGCAGGTACGGAAGTCAAAGTGTTGCAGCAGGATGGCGATGGCCACTTTCAGAGTCAGGAGAGCAAAGCGCATCCCGATGCAGTTCCTGGGACCCGCTCCGAAGGGCAGGAACGTATATGGATCTATGGCCCCCTTGTTCTCCTTGCTGAACCTGGGTAATGACGTGATAGGGGAACATAGAATGAAGGAAGCAAGAAATCAAAAAGCTCTGCTTTTATCTATGTATTTACTTCTTTAGAGAGCAGCCTGCGGTTTCGGTCTGGATGGGAACCTTGAGAGGAATATACCATTTACAAAAGCAATGAACTATGGAAAAGTTACGACTTCAAAGAGAACAGAGATCAGTGCCGGTGTTCATAGCAAAGCCTGCGTGAGGGAAACAGGCTCAGCTTTGAGGATTATTAACTACTACAAGTAGTTACGGTTATAAAGAGTTCTATCAATCTAGGCACACGTTGTCAGTAAGCTAGAAAATGTCATACAGGAGGTTGTGAAGTGCCAGGATAAGTCTCCCAGTAAGCCTATATTGGAAATCCTGCCCTAAAGGCAAAGCTCATCTCCTTTTGAAAAAAATCTCTCCCATTACTACGGAAGTTCTCAAGCTGGTATTTTTGGGGGAAGGAAAAATAGCCACTATTAGGTGCCTATTCATTAGAGGCTAATACCTAAGAATTAATTGCCGTATCTGAGAAAGAGCAGCAGGGTATTTCTTTGCTGTCACTATGTGCATGGTACCTTTCTGGTCTGAACTCCTCGGGTTCTGGCCAGTGCTCGGGGTTGCGGTGCAGGGTGTAGGGTGGGATCATAACAATAGTCCCCTCGGGAATGGTCACGCCCTTTATTTCTATGCTCTTCTTGCAGGTTCTTTCGAGTCGTCCTCCAAGAGGGAAGAGCCGGAGGGTTTCATTCACCGTCATGTCAAGGTATTCCATTTGCATCACTGCATCGTACGTGAGTGGAGCCTGTTGAGCAACAGGACAAAGGTGACCAGGCGGGACGATTAGATTTCCCTAAAATGACTACTGAGATCACTAAGTCCTGAAATGACTTAGCTTAACATTAGAAAGCTTAAAATGAACCAAGGTAAGACGGGATAGAGAGGCTGCTCTGGAGTCCTGGCTGCCACAGAGTCATGGCATGTTCTACGACTGCAGCTTCATGTTATGCCCCCAAAGGAAGTTCTTGGAGGTAAGTCTGCAGCTACCAAAATAAAATCCTTACTGAGCTGAGTTTTCCTGCATAACCTGGAATGATTCTGGAAGATTCCAGGGAAGGATATTCAGGAAAAGGGTTGTCCTACCTGAAGTAGAGAGAAGATACCTGGGTGATGATCATCTCTGCCTTCTTTCAAGAGTCCCTTACCTTATTGGGCAAAATAGAGTCGATTTCGTCCTGCAGTTTTTTCTGGACGTCAGGGTGTGTGGCCAGTTCATACGCCAGATAGGAAAGTGTGTTGCTGGTGGGCTCGTACCCAGCAAAGATGAAAATAAATGCTTGGGACAGGACCTCCGTGTCAGTCAAGCCTGTGAAAGAAGGGAATAAATGAACCTTAAGCGGAATTAAGGGTCCTTGCAAGAACAGGGTGGGTTTCCAACCAGTTTAGGGCTCTGCTGTGGCTGCCCAGGCTTCTGCCTGGAGCTGGTTGGTTCTTTTTGTTCTTCTTGGAGAGGGTGGTAGCTATTCTCTAGGAAACACATCTACCTGTGGTCTCCTCCACCCCTGCTCCCGTCACGTGTTTCTGGAGGTTGTTACCTTTATAGGTGTGATTCGTGCCATCGTTGCTGCGAGTGGTTGAGTTTTGGGATTCAATCATCATCTGCAGAAAATCCACTCTGCCCTGAGAAGGAAGGCAGGAGGGTTTCTTTTGTGATAAATGAGCCAGGGACAACTCAAATAAATAGGTTTAATAGCCTGAACTCTGTATTTTAGACTGAGAGGTCCCCAAAATGGGTGCAATCTCCCTGTCGTAAAACCCAACACTTGCATTTAATTTTGGAAACTTATCTGTGCTTTCTATGAAGACATTGGTTTGGAGAGCCACGTTTTGTAAATGAACCTCACAAAAAGGAATAAGAGGGAACATTTTGCCAGGAAGCACCTTTGCTTTTGAGAAAGGAGGTAAGGGAAGTTACAATCCTGGAAAAGGCAGTACTCCTGTTCCTGCATTATACTACTTACTCTTTTCTTTCCCTCTCTTCTCCTCTGCCTAATCTTCTCCAGGGATGATCAGTGTCTTAGTCTCTTGATTTATTTCAAGTTTTGCAAACCCAGCCCTAATCCAGTTCTCTTGATCTTTCATCAGGATTTAGCTTCAGGCTATGGACATACAAAGTCCATTGTGCTCCTCTGCATAACCGATCAAGGGAGAGCTTATTTCTATCAAGTGTCTCTGGTTAAGTAGCTTTGGTTTCTTGTCAACTCATTGGACTTCACCTTTGATATTTTCACCTTAACTACTTTTTAATTGAGCTTATTGAAAAGAAGACATTTTCTGCCACAAGCAGGTTCCTGCTGTCTTACCTGGTGTGCCTCCTTTTCACGATCCTTCTTAATTTTGGAGATAGACCTCATGAAGAAATCTACAGCATCCTTGGGGAAGAAGCTTACATTCATCTTGGAAAGAAGAGGACCAATGAATGGGCAAACAACTGAAAAATAAATTGAGAATGAAGTGACACACTGTAAGCAAACGTTATCTCATAAGATCCCTGTGGCTGTTGGCAAGGAAGTAATAACATTCTCAAGAACTTATTTTCCTTCTTGATTCCTTTTTCATTTCACCTGGGATGTGCTCTTTTTCTTTTCTCCTTCGGTTAGTTGTCTTGACACAACCCTCAAGTTCCTGTGAACTGGACATATCTGAACTGGGCATCATTTTTATTTAAAAGACAACCAAAGTGTGCCAAGTATTTGCCATCTGCTATATTAAGGCTCTGTTTTCTGAGCCCAGGTCACTTCTGTGCATTGTGCAGCACTACAAGAGCAATGTGGCTCGGCACAGAAATACTTCAAGTTCTGAAAACCTTTCAGGCTGGGCTACTTGCTGCCGTGTCGTGCTCATACAAATAGTTTCAAGCCCTCTTTAGAGCATTTCCTTCAATACAGAGGCTGCATCCTGAGCTTGCTTAGAAATTCATAACATCTACAGCACCTGAACCTCCTCTCTCCATAGATCAGGATTTTCCCTGCATTTTAACAATCTGTCTAGTCTTGATTTAAGGTTGTAAGTGATTTAAGGTTAATCACCATCACCACTAAACTATTCCACTGCTAGGAAAGTGCATCTAATTATGAGCCCCACTCTGTTCTCCTTCAGGAAGCACATTTTGGATAGCAGTGCTCTTCTTTAGCTTCGTGTTTGAGCCTCTTTTTCAAGGACCTTTTTCCAGCCCTTCTTCAGATCTTGGCTAGTAGGTTCACATGGTTCTTGCATTGTGGACACCAAAGGCTAGGAGAGATTTTAGTAGCGTTTTTTTCCTATGCTATGTATGGAAGAAAGATCACTTCTGTAATACTGTTTAATAATCCTCCCTTAAAAAAAAAAAAAGAGAGAGAAAAAAGAAAAGCTTACTTGAACCTTTTACCCTAAAGCACTGTATTTTTCCATTGCTGTTTCAAGGCGCTCAGGTGGATATCACCTGAACTCTTTCCCTGTGTGCTATCTTCTATCTGGCAGTAAAGCTAGATGCTGTTAGTGGGTCGTGATTATTTAATCAAATTATTTACATTAGCCCACTAAGCTTCACCAGCATCGTTTGATTATTGATAAAAATAATAAGTAGCCAACTTCCAATCTTATCTCCATTCTCCACTGTTAGCATGAGGCTAACAGTGGGGAAATGGGAAGGCAAGAGCTGCCAGGACTTCCATCCTAAACGGTAAAGCTCCTTAGTAGGAGTTGATCTGCTAATGGATAGGAGGCACCAGTGTCTGACACCCTTCCTAAAGGCACAACTTGATGGTACTCTGCAACACCTAAATGAAGTTTTCAATTAAAAATAAAAAGTCATTTACATAGCAGAATGAAGAGTGGATCAAAAAAGTCAAACTTGACGAGCTTCTTCATCTCTCGGACAAAGGGATCCTTGGGGTTGTTCATGGAATCAATGTTCACGCCAAATGAGGTGCTGGTGACAACATCCATGCTGTAGCTTCCAAAGATCCTGAGAAAAGACAGAAAAGGCGTGCTGGGGTTAAATATGTGGAATACATGAGTAATGCCGGTGTCCCATTAAAAAAGAAATTCTCAGAAGGCCTTCTTTCCTGTTCTTGAAAAGGATGTTGGCTATCTGGCAACAGGGAAGCATTTATAATGAATGACTTTTGAAGTCTTTCTTTGAAGAGAGTCTTTCTGGGGCCATTAGACAGCACGTGGCTCTGTGAGCAGGTTCCTGAGGCCCACGTGTGACCCTCGAACTTGTGAGCTTCTTGGAGGACCCTTCCCAAACCCCCACTATTGAAACTAGGGTGGATGAGGGCAACCTGGGCCATCTTCAGCCTTCCTCCCTCTGCAGAGCCCAGCTAGAGAGACGGAAAAGTGTCCTGCAGGGTCATGTGTGGGTTGGGAACCTTGCATGTACCGAGGCAGCCTGAAGAACGTGGGCAATCATGGGGAGAACTGGATTTGCCCAAAGAGATTTGTGCTCAAGCACCTTTCTGGCCATCTGACTCCCCTTCAAAGGCTCTTTCGAGGGTCTCCGCCTCCAGGAGGCTTTGCTATTATATTTCCCATTGGAAATTCCCATTTCCCTTTCAGCTAGCCCAGCTATTCTTTTCAGAAGTCGGCTCTAGCAAGAGAGCGACATGTATTGCCAGTAATGAACGAACCACAGCACTTGCTAACGAGATTGCCACGCAGCCTGCTGCTCCTAGCAGTTACTTACTCCTTTATGTCTATAGGCTGGTCCTTTTGCCCTTCCTTCTGGAGGTTTTTCACCAAGGCTTCCCCGTATTGCTTTATTATGGGAAACATCTGCAAAACAAGCCCGAGCCGGCCGCTTCAGTGTGGGGCATTTTACTCCTTCAAGACAGGCTTACAAAAGACTGCAGACAGTTTCATGAATACTAACAAATAGGATCTTTCCATTGAGTCTTTAATTTAAGCTTTTTTTTTTTTTTAAGGGAAAAAAGCTTTAAAAAAAAGCTGTTTATATTAGGAAGCATAAATTAAACAGGCCAGTTTAGGTGAGAGGCTTTGACTGGACTACTCGAACCCCTGTGACTATCTGAGCCCACGAGTGCCTGGTTTCCCAAATTTCCCGTTTCATTTGCAGTGTTTTACCTCCTTTAGCTTCCCACTGGTGAAGGTTGGGGAGAGCACGGTACGAAGCCGCTTCCAGTGCTCGTCCTCGGCCAGCGAGACAGCATCGGTGAGCACCCCTGCCAGGTCCACGTGCTGCAAGGAGGAAGGCAAGGTCAGAGTCCTGCACAGGCCAGGACATTTGCACCCTCCTTGGCAAGGGTGCAAGTGCCACGTGCAATTCACTGCGCAGTTATTCCTGGCAGCAGGCTAGGGCCTTGCAAATGGGCTCTTCCAAGGCTTAGATTCTCCAGGAATAAAGTAAAGCATCTTGAAGAGACCAGGTCCCTTTCCAGAAGAAGCAACCGAATGTGTTGCTTGCTCAGGCTGGGAGCTGCAGGTCGGTGCTTGCACCCCCTTGGGCAGCCCCAGGGTCCCTCTGCTCACCTGGACGGACAAATTCACCCCTCATTTCTTGGCATGAGGGCTGAACTCGCCCAAGGAGCAGGCAAACATTCCCCAGGCAGGGCAGCGGGTGCCCCCAGCTCAGGTTCAGCAGGGGAACAGTGACATTTAGTGGCCATTTACTGTCATCCCAGCAGTGCAGCCGCACAGCGTCCCAAGGGACGAGCCTGGTCGGTGGCTTGTTGCCTGCTCTGCTCGGTGCTTTGGACACTGCTGCCTCGCAGAGCCCCTGCACTTACCCTGCGGTTGGTGAAGGTGGTGTAGCACTCTTTGACGAGCACGGCTTTGATGATCTGGGGGTCCATGACGGCCAGCACGGGCTGCCTGCCGTCGTAAAACCTGGAGGAGAGAGCAGAGGGCTAAGCAAGGACGGGAGGCTGCAGAGCAGCTCTTTGCTGACAGCTGGGATGCAGCACGGGCTAAGGAAACGCTTCTCCATCCTTGCTGGGGAGCAAACGCCTACATGTAGAAATTAGAGCTGAAAAGGACTCCCAGGCGACCCCTCTGTACATGGTAAAGAGTGGAAAACCTCCCCAATTCACTGGGAAATGAGCAGGGCTCCATCCCTGGAAGGAGCCAATACTAAATGAAGCAAGTGGCTTCACTTCCTCCCTTGACTCTCGGTGTTTTTCCAGGCACTTAACCACGTTACCGTATCAGAAGGAAACTTGTTCGACCCCTTCCACTGTCTTGAATTGGGCGTTTGGAGGCTTGTGCTGACAGCACTGAAATATCCTCGGAGATAAAACCTTTATTCTCCTTTTTGGGCTCCGTTTTGGCAGCTAGTTCTGAACACTCTCTTCCAGCAGATCAAGCCTAAGCGGAACTACACATTTTCCCCATCATGTGAAGATGGCTTTTCCAAACTTGCAACGTTTTGTAAAAATTTGCTCCGGGGACCAAGGGCTGCATTACAGAAGTGAGTTTGTAGCTCGAGTTATCACAGTAGTAATAGCAGCCATAGGAAATGCCCGGGCTGGGGTGTTGGGAACCACAGCCCTTTGTATGGTCATAAGTGAGGATGAGAAAACGAGAAAGGCCCCGGACCTTGGACCTATTTATAGTCTCACCCTTGGGAGTTCACACTCATTCTTGCTGCTTATTTTAAACCCGAACAACAGGTCTTTCCAGTTCCAAACTCTCCCTTAAGTAAATAGCACTTTTTCTATATGCTTTGATAAAGCCTTTTACACGTGCTTTAAGACATTTATAGCCAGGGTACCTAGCCATACAAGGCAATTGAATTTCCTTCATGGCATGGCAGTGGCACGGGCCTGCAATCAGAGCGAGCGATTGTCAGCACCCCCTGCCCCTTGTCATCACCACGCACTGGGACCGTGAGAGACCAGCAACACGATTGCCATTGCAGAAAGCTGATGATTCCCATTGCATTTGTTCTCCTGCTCTTTCAATGGATTCTGGTTTTCCCTTAGGAAGAGATCATGGGTTCCAACAAATACTCACCCCCAGACGTTCCCATACTTCTTGAAGCACTCATTGTCAAACTCCAAGAAACCCTGTGGAAGGCAATTTAGAGAGGAAATCAAGAGGGAGCCCCCAGCCCGCGCACCAGAGCAGGGCTTGGCATCGGTAGATAACTTATCATTGCCTTGCACCCATCCAGCTACGGCTGTGTCAGCAAAGACAGGTGCTCTGGGAGGCTTCCATCACTTACTTTGCGGTATTCCAGGCATGTCCCAAAGAAAGGCAAAGGTCTTGGCCCAGGAATGCCTAACTTCTTGAAAAAACCATACGGCCAGATCCCATATCTGAAAGATAGGAGAGGCAACTGAGTGCTGGGAGCTCCCCAACACAAACCCAGGCCAAGCTGGAAAAAAAACATGGCCCAATGGAATATTATGCTTTAAAAAACTACTAAAACTACTTAATAAACATGGCAAGCCTCACTGCTGCAGCACAGATCTTCCAAGAGATGGCTTTGAGGGAAAAAACAGTCTTTTGCAAGGAATAGAAAGGAATAGATGCTGCAGTAGAGAGAGGACCTCACAGCCCTTAGCAAAATGCGAAAGAAGAGCTCCTTGCCAACGAGAGGAGGAGCAGTAAAGAGGGATGGAAGAACACACACCAAGCTTACATATTTTTATTGCAGCAAAATCAAAGCAGTGCCAGAAGTGAGGTCCCAAGCATGGCTTTTGTCAGACTACACTTCCATTTCATTTACTGTTCTCCTCCTTAGCCCAGCAGCGTGTCATGAAGTCCTGGTCATTTTCTCACTAGATTTTATTGACAGTTTTGCAGATTTCTTTCCTCTGAAGCACCTTTTTGGGCAGCTATGGAGTTATTGCCTCTACCTCGGGGCCCTCTGCTTTGTGCTGACGTTGCCTGAAACTCGCCCTGTCTCCATTTTACCCTTTTCCCTCTAGATTTAATTCACTGCTCCATGCAAAGAGTCTATGGACACTCGTTTTTAGTGTTCAGAGGCAGCTAGAGCTGCAGGAGGACCAAGGTTTGACCATTTGCAGAGCCCAGATGTGCCATGGGAATGGAGAATAGGCTGAATTCATTTGAAGGAATGAGTGAAGCAGCCAGGACAGCAGAGCCGAACACTCCTGTGGCTAAAACCTGCACACTTTTCTGCAGTCTAAGCAGGGCCGTTCAGTGCAAAGCCAGAGAATAGCGGTTACATCACCTCGCGAGGGAAAGGGGCCAGAAATGCCTCGAATTCGTTCATTTGTGAACCAGAATAATGCTGTTGCAGGCAGGAGCAAAGGGGTTTGAAGCCTCCTGGCATGAACGGGTGGGGGATTTTCTGTTTCCTTTGAGACACCAGAGCACGAGCCCCCGGGTTTGTCCCTTGCAAGAAAAAGCAGGTGGCTGCAGGAGGCAGGGAGCTAGCAAGGTGGGCATGACCAGAGACACCAAAATAGGCAGCTTTGGGTCAGATAACAGAAGATTTTTAACGAGCCTGCCCCAAACAACTCTTCGAGTGGTACAAATGACTCTCAGCCCAAATCACAGGAAGGAACTCAAAGAAAAAAAAAAGAGTAGAACGTTTCAGAAGGCAGAAAAATTAGTGAGTTGTGGCAGCTGAAACTTCACCAGGGCAGATAAATGAAGTGAGCTCATGTGCACTGCGTTAATCACTAAGGTTCACAGGGAGAAACAGGCTGTCCCTTGTTAAGGGCTTGTCAACATGGTCAGAGCTCTGTTAGCCCAGCCCTTGGCACGCACGATGCTGGCCTGGCTAAGCTGTCACTTGGAGCAGCGTTTGCTGAGCTGAGGAAAGTCCTTTTCATAGTATAGCTGCTTCTATGGCACCAAGGTATGTTTCTGTATGACAATGTTTGGGTTTGCTTTTTCCTGAAAAAGCTAGGAATTGGAGAACTGGCCTCACAGAGGGTTTCTCTTCTCCTATGAGCGAGGGAGGAAAAGCCTTGGGGCATGAGCACTGCGGGCGCATTGGGGTCTCGCTCCTGACGAGCATCGCCCTAGCAGCAGGTTTTGGTGCATGGAGCAGTCTCAAGCTGCTGAAGGAGTCAGGAAGAGTAAGAGTGACCTGAGTGATGCTCTTTCCCTACTGGCTTTCTGCTGCTCTCTACTTCTGCGGGTCAGGTAGCAGCATCTTTTGCTGCCTACACTCCTCCATAGGGCAGCTCTTAGCCAGCCAGCCCAGCAAAGGCTTCCTCAGACTCTCTGCTTCTGTGCAAAGCCGCCCAACGGACCTTGTGTCCATGTGCATCTCTAGATCATACGTCCACATGGGTCTTCTGCCAATGCCTCGTTACCGAGGCTGGGAATTGCACCTACCTGTTTGCGCTTCATCAGGTGAGTCACATTAAAATGAGCAATGACAACAGGAAAATGGCTTGAGGAAAGAAGCAGTAAAGGACATTTTACTCACAGTGTCAGGAGTGCTACAAAAAGGAGCACGAGGGCCCAGGTCTCAAACGAGAAGGATGGCAGGAGGTTCATCCCGGCTCTTCCCTCGCCTGCTCCCAGCTCGGGCACGCCGTGGTTCTCCCTCTGGCCGGGGGAAGTCGGAGCGTTTTGTAATGTGTAATCTCTTGTGTTTGGTCATATGATTGAGGGGCTGTCTCTGTGTCACTGAGGAGGAGGAGTGAAAGGCAAAGGTAGCAAACTATGATAATCCAGGTAATACATTTCCGCTTGCAGGTGCATGCTGGTGGGAACGTCCAAGGCCATACAAGCTACTTGATGTATAAATTATCAGGAGTTCCCATTTGTGTGTCTGTTATAACACTAATAACTGCCTTTCTGCTGGGTAAGGCTCCCGGGCTCCCACACCAAAAATAAATAAAACCAAGTTGTAGTGAAAAGGTAAATCCCCAAGCAGGTGTCAGACTTGGTTTACAGAAGAGTAAGGAAAAGAAAAGCGAAAAGGTTATTGGAGTACTGCATGACAAGATATTTTCTGGCAGCTGAATTAGCTTTGGCAGAACGTAGGATTTAGTTGAAAATATCTTTGTTTCTGCACATGTTGGGAAGGGACTGCCTGCTTGGGTGTGTGCTGGTCAGAAACCGTTTCTAACAAGTGCCCGACTTGCCCCAGTCACCCCAATAGGCTGCAGGAAACTTGGAGGGCTCCTTGCTTGCTGACTCATGTGCAAATAGTTTATAAGAAAATTATTGCTTTACACTATGATTTGGGGAGATGAAAGTATTTTTCTGCAGCACCTGGAAAAGGCTATGATCAAAGGGAGAATCAAGAGGTTTGTAATGCTTTTCCCCCAGGGATGGGGCAGAGGCATCCTATAGGCATGGATCTGGTGAGAGAGGACTATGGTGGCAGAGGAGACTTGGTCGTCTTGATGGTGTTTGATATTAGTGGTCACAATATAAGGGCAAGAGGATATATGACTCACACAGAAGCACATTACAGCACCTTTAGGGCTTGGCTCATAACTTTAAAATGAGCAATTTCCTTCATGTTAGCAGGGCCAACCTCCCTAGAAGAAAGTTTACTGGATGCTGCAAGTGTTAGGAACAGCACGTGCCGTTACTTCCAAGGGTACTGCCGTGATTGATGGGCTCACTGATATGTGGCTATCGATCCATGTCCTGACAAAAAAAACGAGTTTGAGAGCCGTCATCCAGCCTTATCTCAGGAACATCTGTACTCGTTTCACCTCTGCCTGCCCTATGCCCCAAACTTCAGACACAAACCAGTTGCAGATTAATTTGTAACAATCGGTCTGCTCCGGTTTATGACATGAGTGGGCAAGTTAATGACATAATTATGTAAGCCTTTTTTGGGGTTGTACCTTGCTTGGCACGGCTATATCATGATAATATGTGATTAACGACGTGCTTTTATATTCAGAGTCTGTCAAGTGACTAGTGCTTGTTTTTTTTTGACAAGTTCCCCTTTGTGTATCTTGTTTGTTTCCTTGAAAGCTGACTTTAGTAGTCACCAAATGTTCTTGACCAGCCATATGAGGAAATGGGTAATACAGTTTATCTGAGGAGGAAATAAAATAAAAAATAAATGAATAAAAAAGGTGAGAACAAGCTCCAGGAGCCCTTGAAAGCAAGCAGGCTGTTGCCAAGCCCCACTGCTGGTGAAGTGGGGACTTTTTACCACCGGCAAGTAGAATATACCTTTTTCTTTCTTTTTCTTTAAAAGAAAAAATCTTTGAGAGAACTGACAGATTTAAAAACAACAACAAAAGTCTGATTCCATTGACCTCTGCCAGAGGAAAGTCAGTGACCCAGGAATGACTGACTGGCATCCACATGATGTGCCCAGCTCAGAGCTGGGGTTATGCCCTCAGTGGCTTTCTATCAAAGTTGTCATCCCTTAGTCCTAGGTCATGGCTGTGCTTGAGCTGCCAGCACCGGGGGCTGAAGCAAGACAGCAGGATGAGGCACTTGGACGTGGTTTAGCAAGCATGATTCTGACAGGTTTATGGTTGGTCTTCAAGGATCTTGAAGGTCTTTTCCAAACATAATGGTTCGATGATGGCCTGGCTAAACCCTCCCTTTCCTCTGGAGAAGGGGCAGGTCTGAGAGGTGTTTTGGCATCTTCCTGCCCTCCATTCCTGGAAAGGAAGATAAATATCAGCTTGTGTGTTCATGTTCCTCCAATGAAGGATGACACCAGCACCAAACCCAACCACTCTCTTCCCTTCCCTTTCTTGGGACTGCACCATCCATCCAGGAGCTGATGTGGGACCCATCTCAGCACAGCCCATGAGGCTCCAAGGGGCTCATCCTGTTTGGAAGAGCCACGTACAGCTCCCAGCTTGGTAAAGACCAGTGCCAATAACCCACAGCAGGTCCCCTTGTCACCATAGAGTCTCAGCATTAAGGAAACCCAAAAGCAAACCTGTCCTGTTGTCCGGCAGCAAAATGCATTTTCTCTGCCAGAGAGCTGAGTTGTAAAACTCATAAATCTATGTCAGGAAAGGACAGTGGTGTCCCTGATTCTCACTGAAAACAAGAGGCTACAGCAAATTCACTTTGCCTTCCCTGTTGCTTGCTCTTCTTTGGCAACAAAATGAGTTGAGAAGTGGGAAACGGAACACTGAAGAGGAGAGGGAGGGGAAGAAAAGGGTGGAGGGGGACAAAAATACAAAGCAAGGAAAAGAGAGTCTGGTTTCAAACAGCTTTCTCAATGATCTCACTAAGGGACCTCGATTGCTAATGGCAATCCTATGGATTCTCTGATGTCTAATAGGGGGTAGTGAAGGTTAGAGAAGGCACAACTAGAGTCTCTCTACCTCATGGCCTATTTTTTAGCTACCCAAGGGGGCTTATTATTTGGGGTAGGAGATGCAAGAGCTTATTTGATACACAAACAGGCAAGACTCACTGCCTTAGAAAACCAGGCTTGAGGCAATCTCCCTAAATATAGGACTTCACTTTTCAGAAACTTAAGGGGGGATAGTTCTTGAAAATGGAAGTTGGACATTATTTCTGACAGTGAAGAAATTAAGAATTTTATGGGAACGAGACACCAGAATGCAGTTACTGCTTCTGAGATTTTTCCCTTTCCTTTGCCTCTATTCCTTCCCATAGGTTATCCATTCCATCTGTTTGGGTCATTTAGACCTGTCTTCCTCCTCACTCTGCCAGGCTTTTAGGTGTACTCTGCTTCTCAAGAGTGTTTCCAAACCCACCACACCCTGTTCTGGCTTTTGGGAATGTGAGAACACAGCTGCAGGCAAGGACACTCTGCTCCAGAGGTGGAAAACTGAGGTCCTAAGCAGGGGTTGCAGTCACACCTGTGGAAATGTCACTTCTGGTGACAGAGCCTGTCTCATTCCTGCATGGCAGCATTACACACCATGTGATGTTAAGGGTAGAGGCAGTGCTCACCCCAGGGCTTTAGGCTGCTGCGCCATATGGCAATTCCCGTGTTGTCACCAGCTTCAAGGAGAGACGCAGGCTGAGGGTGACAGGTACGAAAAGCCAAACTTTGCAACAAATCCAGAAGAGAATTGAGCTGCTTTTCCACTTTAATGCTGCTAAGTAGCTCAGATTAATGGATTAATGGCTTTCAGGAAAGCAAAGGAGCACCGCATTGGTATCTGTAGTGTAATGAAAGCAGAGCTCCTAATCCAGGTGCTGAGCAGGGCATGAGCCAGAGGGATTTTGTGAGCAATAATGGCTGGGGACTAGGCAATAAAGGTGGAAGAACGTGTATTCCTTTCACAAACCGTAAAACCTAATGATGTAGGGCTAGCACAAACACGAGGGAATAGCAGTTATGCCTGGGACACAGGTGTGGAGGAGAAGGAACTGCTCAGAAGAGAAAGAGCTATAGGTTTTCAAACAGCAGGTAGCACCTTGTGTTGCTGATGGAAAGGATTGCAAAGGAAGCAGGAGGGGCCAGCTGGGTAAGGCTGAATTTTTAGGTCCAACTCACTTGAAGTATGATCCTAAAAGAGATTCTGTTGAGCTGATTCCGGGCCTTGGTCAGTGGTTCCCAAGGAAGGACTATGCATCGTAGGGAATCTGCAGTGGTCGTTAGAACAGCCTCTGGGGAGCTGTGTCTTTGTGGAATACCTTAAACTCTGCATACAGGGAGCAGGATAATGCTAGTAATTGTGGCAGGACTCACAGAACGCCTGTATGAGAGACCACAGGCTTCTGCACTGGAGAAGAACTAACCTGGCAAGGAGCAGGACTGGTTCTGATTCAGTTCTGATAAATAATTCAGGATATTCTAGAAGAACAGTTAGTGGCAAGATTACTTTGGCTAGGATGAAATGTATTCAGCTTGTTTAAGTGGAAGCGTGAACTAAAATAAGTTTATTTAATTTTCTCTTTTCCTAGAGGATGAATTAGAGAGATGAACCAGTGGGACATCTCAGGGCCATTATTGTAGATTGTGCCTTGGCCCTTCCTTAAGTCCAAGGTGCTTCGTGGACCTTAAGTCCAAGGTGCAAGCCAAGGAGGAAGGCAGCTATAGCACTTGCACCCAAGTGCCCTTCTGGGCTGGAAGGTGGTTTTTGAGCCCAGCTCAGGCATGGGTTCCTGGGCTGGATGGGGAAGTCCGTCGTGCCTGGTGTCCTGGGCCCTCCAGAGCTTGGCTGGGTTGTTCCCCAAGCACTTGGTTGGGCTGGATGGTGGTTGCTGGGCAATAAATGCAGGTGGATGAACTATTTAAATTACGATGTTGACCCAGAGACAAATGCGGTGCCGTTGGGCTGGGAAGGAGCAGGATTCCTAGCATTAGGAGGCTTCCTGCTGCGCTCTGAATTTTAAAAGAAGGCTGAGACAATGCAAGGTGGGACTAGACAAAATGTTGATCAGAGGAGAGCAAGCACTAAAATAAACTTCTTACCAGAGCAATTCTGCCATAACAACGTGAGGCGGTTGCTTTCTGCAAAGGCAGATGTGGGAAGGCAACTGCTTGTTTTCCCTGACACGTGATGGTTTAGTTACCCGCAGGAAAACACTTCATAATGAACATTTGTTGCCTGTGGTTAAAATATTGATACAGTGCAGCTAGATTAAAAAAAAAAAAAAAAAAAAACCCACAATGTATTTGTGGGGTTTCTA